TGGGGAGCCGCCCCCAGAGCAGGCGTTGGGCAGGTTTGAGAAGGCGGTGCTCAGTAAGGGCTGCGTGACGGCAGGACAGAGCACACCTGGGCAGGTACTCAGAAGCTAATTAGCGCTGATACGCGGCTGGCGATATCGTCTCTAAAGCGGACATTTCTGCTCTATATCGGCTCTGTCGCGTCCCTACGTCGGCTCTGCAGCCGGCGACGGCCTGCTCTATTCCCTGCCCTAAATTATAACTGTGGAGGGAAGATGACATTATCGAGAACTTTGAATACGTAAGCAGCTAGCTACCTAGGCAATTTGGAAGCCAATCAGAATGCATTTTCACCGCGGAGTGAAGTTTGTTTCCGCGATTTTAAGAAGGAATTGTTAATGTTCGTAAATTTTTCCCCGTCTCTTACACCACTCAAGGACTACTTATTACCGCACGAGGCACTAATTATGTCTCTAACGGTCTCTCTCTCTTCAAAGTGTAAATCGTCTTTCGAGCTTTCCGTACATCGTCCGTTTCCGTTCATCTATCACCTTCAAACAGTATACGAACCTTCAACGAACTATTAACAGTCGAGGTTTTCTCAGAAACGTAGAAATTAGTTGAACAATTAATTGTTGGGATTTCAATGTTAATTTGTAAATCCTCTCATTTCATTCTAAACCAACAATTATATTTATGCGATTATTTGTAGTAATTTTCATCTATCCCATAATTGAATCGACCATAAATCTCTGATAAAAATCCCATTAATTCTCATTCACTGTTGGATCATTTTAGTATTATTTTTCTTATGGAGCAAACCTTGAATCGGGCGTTACTAGCTGTTACTTCTCTGATCACGTGACGGCGTTCTTTTATTTTGAGGCCGCTATATCTCAGAAGAAAATTATTCGCTTATATATTGATACAAATATTTACAAGATTAGAGAAAATGAAACTTTTTCTATCATATAACAATGATTATCACTTAACAAAACACTCCTTTTTATACTCCTTATATATTTATATTTTCTTAAACAAAATTTGTACAGTATCTGTATAAAAAACAATGGCCTACAAGTTCGACTGTTGAAATTAGGTTAGCAAACAAAAAGAAGCATAAACGCTTCCAGCTATCCCGTTTTAGTATATTTTTTGTAGGTCGTACTACATTTATCGGAATGTCTATAATGCAAAAAACTCATATAAGCATTTTCGAAATGAATTCGGGTGTAAACGGGACCAAAATATTGGAAGCAGTCAATGATAAATGCTCGGAACACATCAGTTCTAATATAAGAGCCTTCAATGCGAATGAAGTCGTTTCTCAGCAATATAACATGAGAAATTATTCAGTAATCAAACAACGAAAGTTCGACAATATTATATTACAGTAGAATTCGCAAGTTGAGTTCTATAAATTCAAATAAATTTTTGAGAAACTGTTTAATCCCGCTAGGTTTAAATCCGTTAAATATATTTAAGTTTCAATGAATCCCATAAACTATAATACAGAAGACTGTATGACAATCTGATGCACAGAATTGAAGAGTTTACAAACAACTCTTCTGTATCTACATTGAAAAAGTTGTTAAACTTCAGTATCAAAATTTTTGAATGCAAACTGGTGAAAGGATCTATATATATCGAATTGCCAATGGGTAAAGAAAGATATATAGATTAACTAAATAAATAATCTGGACAATATATACTTACTCTGAATGGACGGTTGCGGGTTACTTCTGCATAGATGCAGAAAATGCTAATAGAAAACATAAATATCTAGGCAAAATGCAGAAAATGTATATTGAATTCACCGCGAAATCGATCGATTTCCTCTAACATTGAAAGCGCCACAAAATAGATCGATTTCACCAAATATCAAATGATTTTCCCAAATATCGTATTCCCAATGAAATCGATCGATTTCCCCAAATATCGAAGGATTTTCCCAAATATCGGATTCCCAATGAAATCGATCGATTTCCCCAAATGTCGAATGATTTACCCAAATATCGAATTCGTCATGAAATCGAAATATATCCCCGAATATCAAATTCTCCTTGAAAGTTGAAGACATAGATTACTGTGAAAAGACGACTAACATTTCAATAAATGTATTTAACTTGAATTTTTGTTTGGAGTTATACTCACTTCGAATAACTAAAGCTAAAAACGAATATGTAGTTTCATTATTGCTAATAACTCGTGGTATGAATATCATTATGTCTTGATGAAGTATTTGATTCAATTCGTTATAAAGTCAAGATGAGTTATAAAACTAAATAAATTTGTCCGTACAGCTGGCATGCATTCATAGGCGAAAACTTCAATAAACTCAAGGGACTCTCTGATGAGTAAAAGATTAAACTGTACATTCATATAAAATGTACAATTCGGTTACAAATTCTTACATGAATCAACAATTATTATTAATTGTTTAATTAATTAATTAATAGTTCATTCATTATATTAATTCAATATTATTAGAGATTTAAAGATGGTGAAGAATAAATACAGTATCCAGTCCAAGTATTTGCTTTAGGGTTTCTGAAATTTCAAGTGAAACTATTCGAAATTCCCACTCCACCTTCAATTTAATTATCACAGCTCTGGGAACAGACTTGTAAGCTGAGTTTTCTTGATCTAGAGTTTTCTTGAAGCTAGAAGAAGTTTCGGCCTTAAATTGAGGTTGAACTAAATGTATTTATTGATGGTGCTGAAACAACGATTGAGGTCAACATGAATGAAATGGTAAAAGTAGTGAAAATGCAAGATGAGTTTTCCGATCGACTTGACTAAAAATGAAAAATCAATTGGAGGTCTGTTGAGGTATTATTGTGATTTTGAGAAAAGATGAATATTAAACTAAATTTATGAATTTGTCCAGCCGAGGTACAAGTAATAATGCTTGGTAGAGGGTAGAGCACGAGTGAGATGGGAGCAGGGGGTTGCCGCCGTCTGGAACAAGCCCGTCGCGCTCGAGGCAGTGGGGCCCCTGGAAGAGGAGGCATGATGATGCGAGGTAACTAAAAAACAGGTGCGTGGTTGTAGTTTCGTAGCGCGGTAGTATATGCAAAGTAAAAATATTGTCGAAATAATATTTATCGAAAACGAATAAGTCAAACTCTTTTTGTGACACGCACTTATTTCTGAGAAACTTCTAATGCATGTAGGGAGGGTTCAGACACCAAAGAATATAGAACCACTAAACATATAGCCACGGATGACCATCCGCTGTTCAGATGAAAATATTCACAAAAATGTGTGGTTTATGGCGTCCGTCCATCACTGCGCAAACACTTGTTGGTCGTCAGCAGCTGCGCGACCAGTACATCACAGAACCCAGCTTCTATGATCATCTGTAAATGTCAGTATGTGAGACTTATATTGCAGTGAGCAATAACTATCAAGTGAGTTATGGATGTTCACTGACAACGAACACGCGCATAAAGTGAACCACTCTGGACATATTGAAGAGTTTTGAGCATCGTCATAAATGCGCACTTGTTTGTTATAAACTGCGTCGTGACGGTTGCTATGCGGGCTTCTATTTTACTGGCACGTGTCTTGTGTGAGGTGCCTCACCGGGTCGTAATTATCAAGCGCATAAGGGTCATTTTATTTAAAGTGAACAGAAGCGTCAGACGGAATTCATGAAAGTTATTCCGTATTTATTTCAACATAACGATCAAACTGTGAAGCTCATTTATCTGAAATTCATTTCATTCTCGGTAGAAACTTGATTTAATTGATAGATTACTTCACTGAATCGAAAGTATTTTAAATTACTATCTATTCAAAATAATGAAAATTTGGATTCCATACTGGTATAGTTTCGATTGTAACAACAAAACTTTTGTCATCGCATCACAAGAAGTAACCAATGAACGAAGAGCGCGTTACCAAGGAGAGCGCTGGAACAGTTGTAAGTTTCGAGGTAATTTTATTCAGGGTAACAACACTAGAAGCTCAACAAACACTTGTGTCGACGGCTCTACGTGAGCGAGTGCATTTTCTGATGCTAGTCTTGCTTACTCGCTCTGTGCGACCGGTCGCACCGCGTGGAAGTGCTCCGGGGCGACCGTTATCCCTTACCGGCCCCGCGTATACCTTCCCTCGTGGGGAGTGACTATGAAGCTGCGGCTCTCCTGAGACAAAATTCATCAAACTTATTTTCTGAGTCTAAATTTTTATCACCTGGGTTGATTGGCTGCCATATATTATTCTTCATCTCTGCATTCATACTTCGACTAATAGTGAATGACCAGAAATAAACGAGTTGACATATTTCCTGATTTCCTATTTTTTCTCGAAATTTCTGCGCCGTAAAAAATTAAAAAGCAAATATAACAAATGAGCTCATTGTATTTTTAAAATAGATCATTAAGTTCAAAGACAAATAATAGGCGTAATGTAACTAAAATGTCTGTCCAAATATTGCGAAAAAAAGTTAATACAAATTTAATTATGCAAAAGGACATACCAACGTTTATAATAAATAAAAAATATCAGTAAATAAAAAAGTTTAGATAACAGTGACCAAGAGTAATTAGTTGTTTTTCCTGCAATACTTGCCACCATCTTTAAACAAGAAAACAATTTCTGGAAGCTGGTGTTGAGAGCAAATTATGAGTACCGTTAAGTGCGGCTGAGCGATGTGCTGGAGCTATTACATGATAGCTAGAAGTTCAGAATTACCTCCAACAGGTTTTTTCCTTGAGAGATCATTCTAATTTTTTTATTGCTGCTTCTAACCTTATAAACTCGGAAGAAGAGAGTATGGATTAAACTAATTAGTTGCGTCTGAATGCTCAAAGAACTTGTTTTTTTATAAAAAATTTATTTCTTAAATTTGGGACAAACTAGTAGTGAAGGGCTCATCAAGTGGATGCTCCAGGAACGCATCGACTGAAGCTCGCAAAATCCATTATTTATTTATTTATGTCATATATTTTATGTATATTATATGTATTATTCATTTATAATGTAGATATATTAATACTAAATGCGTCATAATGAACAATTTTTTCAGCAACCATTGTCGTTAAATAGTTATTGCCTGTTGCAATAAACCCAGAATTAGAATCTGCCGCCATGAAGAAGCTTCAAGTCCGCGTATTTGCCCTTGGCATCGTGGCTACGGTGAGTTCGATATCAAGATACTCTTTGTTTTTCACGGATAGGTGATGAAAATTTCGCTGTAGGTAATCTAAATACTTGTGTTTCCATTCTTCTTACAAATCTGCCCCTCGCAATCTTGCAAGCAACTTAGTCAATCATAATGAAGGTTAGAATAATTTCAACATTGAAACAATTTCAATGTTGAATTTATTTCAAAGTTGAATGTATTACTACGTTGAAATCATTTCAAAGTTTATTAATTTTTTTCAACGTTGAATTTATTTCGACGTTGAATTAGTTTCAACATTGAATTGATTATTACGTTGTAATAATTTCGACGTTGAATTCGTCTCAACGTTGAAATAATTTCATTTGAATTAATTTCAACATTGAATTCACTTCAACGTTGAATTAATTTCAAAGTGAATCAATTTCAACGTTGAATTTATTTTATAACGTTGAATTTATTTCAACGTTGAAATATTTTCAACGCTGAAATGATTCCTACGCCTAATGATTTGGATGATTTTAAATTTATTTGTGTTTGTCCTGATGAGCCATTTATTTTAGAAGGTGTTGATCTGTTGCATGGCGTGTCGTGTTTGTACTGCTACGTGGTTGAGTGGGTAATGTCCAGTGGCTATTAGTGTTATGTCATCTGTAAAAGCTATGTAAACTGTTTTGGGTGATGGTTGTGGGAGGTCGCGGGTGTAGAAGCTGTATGGTATTTGAGAGAGACTAGCCCCTTGAGGGACACCTGTGCGAAGCTGTAGCGGAGACCTATCTAATTACCTATTCTTAAGGATACTTTTCTGACTGTATGGTAGACTAAGAGTGTTTTGGTGAAGGACGGATAGAGGTTGAGTTGGAATGCTTTTTTATTAGAGTCCGGTGCGCCAATCATTGTCAAAGCCGTTGGTCACATCGCTGAGCACTGTGTAATTGGTGTGTCTTCGTGCTAAGTGTACGGCTAGTGTTTCGTGGAGTGTGGCTAGTGCCTAGTGCTGTGTGTGTACCTCTATTTTTCTTCAAACTATGTTCTCCTGTGTAATGTACGTTTTTTTATGAAAGTTTTTTGTATAATCTATGGAGTATTTTGTCTAAAAGCTTCTCATGGATGTCTAGCAGTGAGATGGGTCTTGAAATTCCAACTGTTGTGATGTGTTGGATTTATTGAGGAATATCATGATGGCGTATTTTAGTGAGTCCGAGAAATAACTGGCGGAAATGACATGATTGAATATGCATATTAGATAGTGGATCATGGTTTTGGGTAAGTGTTTGAGTTAGAGTGTTGTGATGCCTGTGCAACCAGGTGTTTTCTTAACACATTTTTCTTAACTTAGCTTCGCGTTTGTTTGTTTGTTGTTAACATTGACAACAAAAATTAGCCCACTTCTGAATGCTCTAGAGATCTGAATTTTGGCATGCAGGATTTTTTCGCCTAACAATTTCAGATACAATCATAAAAACTAGCAATTAGAGGCCTAAATTAGCTTGATTGAGTAAAGTATATATATATATTTAGTATATATATAGTATGACCTGCGGACGCTGACGTTATAGACGAGCAGGCGCTGACGCTGCGTATCATCGATACGTACGTCAAGTCATACTTAATCAAGTCTTAATCGTTTTTCTTGTGGACTGAAAAGTAGAAAATAAAATACTTAAAAAAAACTTTTTGAAAAACCACGTTTTTCTTGTGGACTAAAAAGTAGAAAATAAATTATTGCTCGCCCCAAAAAACGTGGGACGGGCTGTACGTTCACCTTAAAAAATTTCCAAAATTCGTGTGTTGTGTGCTTTTCGCTCTAATCATAAATCTGCCCGACACACGTTTTTTGGGGCGAGCCATAATTTATTTTCTACTTTTTAGTCCACATAAAAAACTTGGTTTTTTATACGACGTTTCGAATATATATATATATATATATATATAACTCGGAAATACCGCGACTATGATTAGTTGACGTTTTTCAATTAGTTATTTAAGGTAAAAGAACCTTTCCTATTTGGACCTAACCTTAGTAAAATTTTAGAATAGTGTCTAAAGAAACATTTTTTACACTTCTTACCCTAATTCTAACCCTAACCTAACGAGATTTGTGTTAATTACAATGTCTCGTAATATGGTTCATTTTTTTTTCGTCGCGATAATAGCTAAAACTAATCATACACATATACCGCGACGTTGGTCAATATCGAGACATTTTTACCGCGACGAAGTGTCGCGCAATGTGCCAAAAATGTCGCGCTTTTGCCGAAAGTATATATATATATCACTATAAGATAGCAGAATAAGCTTATTTAAACACGAGTGGTTAATGACCAGAGAAATCATTGATTTAAATTTTCAGGATCGAACAATATTCTTCAGTGGACGTTGGTTGATAAAAATTCAGGTTCAAGGAAGTAATTTAATTTATTAACGACGTTTCGAATGTGACATCATTCATTTTCAAGTTATAGGAAGCATTGAATACTGAAATTTTGGCGGATATAAGTACGTGATACACGTAAATATGATACAACACGAAAATTTGGAACCGCGAAAATAATTCCGAAACAATCTCAAAGTTCAGAAAATCCGGTAGTTATGAGACGAGTAGCTGGAGTCCAATCCGTAGAGATGAGGGCTTCAGCTATCGTCGGTCGAATATTTCGGGTCACTGCACGTTGAAGATGCAGGTGTGTTTCTCCAGCACCGTGAGAGTTGTTGTCAAGGGTGTCAGGAAGCCTGTTGAATTCATCACGGATCATGAGATGAAGTTGCTCGATAGTAAGACTTTGAGACCTGGTCTGGTTGCGAAATTGTCTCAGGTGGCAGGAAAAACAGCTGCTCAATGTCGATGAAAGCAGCTGCTCAAAATTTAAATCAATGATTTCTCTGGTCATTAACCACTCGTGTTTAAATATATATATATATATATATATGTTGTTGTGTCTGAGGTATGGGAGAGTTTGCTTGGTGTTTGAGCCTATCATGCGTTTTAGGGATGACCAAATTTTTGGGGGATTCTTTTGTTTTTCTCATGTGCTAATGAGATCCTACCATGGCTGTGTTTGGATGTGTCTGTATGCTGTGGGTAGTTATTGACGTATACAGGGAGATGAGTTGTCTGTTTTGTGCTGGCGACGGACCGTGGGTGTGAATGTTTTGGAGAGTGCCTTGGTATGGTGTTTGAATGAGTAATGTTCCATTGTTGGGTTCGATGCCGGAATGATGCGGTGTGTTATGGTAGGAATTGAGCTATCGGTGGCGTTCTGTACGTGTTTTGTCCAGGTTTGTTCGGGATTTGCAGATATGTGGGCTATTATGGGAATGTGATTTGACGGTGTGATGAGTGCGGGCTGTATGTGCATGTTGTGGAATGCTTTATTGTTGTATAGGACTATGTCAGGTGATGTTGTGCTGTTGTGTGTAATGATGGTTGGAAGGTAGGGGCCGATGTGGGATTAGTGAGTGTACTCGTCTTCTTATGTGGTTGGAGGAGCTCTCCCCAAATGTTGTCTGTCTTCTGTTTGTGTCTGCGAGGAGGTATACAGGATGGGGCCTATTTAAAAAAAGTGTGGAAGTGAATGCAGTTGATGTAGTCTATGCGGGGTGGAATGCATGTAATTTCTATTGTGCTGGGTCCTTGTTGGTTATCTATTATGATTGCGAGCTTGTCTGTATGGGAGTTCTCGTGTAGTTTGTATGGGATATACTGTTTACTGCTATGGCAGCACCGGAGTGAATTGTGTTATCTATGTTGCTGCTATGGACGTTGTAATTAATAATTTGAGTTAATTGTTGTTGTCTGTGATAGAGTGATCGTTAATAGGAATGATGTCAGGATCTGTCTCATTGTAAATAGTTGATAATGTAATTTCTTATTATGACAGTGTTGGACATTGTATCGGCAATGTTAGGCAGTATCTTTAGTGTTAATTGAGAGGTCATGATGGGGAGGATGTTTGAATGTGGATTGTTTCAGTTTTTTTGGTGGCGGCTGTTTTTATGGTTATGTGTCTATCCATGGTAATGAAGGCGTCGTGAGGGATGATGTTGACTGTGGGCTTGTTGAATTCGAATTTGTCTCGTCTCAAATGGTTGGTAATTTTCGAAGAGCCTAGGTCTATCACTGAAAGCTTCCGTCCAAATTCGTTCTTTCTCAGTTCGTCAAGTACCAGCTGTTGCGAGGGACGGCAGGGATTGGGTTGGGTTTCTGTTGCTCCTTAATAGTATAACAACTATTAATTCGCCTTCTCCTGGCATTGAAATGGGTGATTCTCCGTATTGTTCGTCACTAATTCTTCGTTTTCAAAGGTCGTGTTTTTAGTAGTGGATTTTGGTTGTCGGTGGGAGGGACGTTCTGATGGATCTCTTGACCTCTCTGTCGAGTTTAGTGAGGACCGTCTCATGTCGTCATCGTCAAAAATTCCGTTTGGAGGTTGAAATCGGTGTGTGGAGTCTTGGTTTCTGGTTGGTATTAAAAAAAGTTTAATATTTTGACGGAGATTCTGTCAGAAAAAGTCGCGTCAATATCGTAGTTGGTCTTCAATTATTTGTTAGTATGCTGCCGAACCCCTCCTGTCGAGAGAAGCAGGTGAATGGGCTTCTAGAGTAATTGCAGTCAGTTTAAGTTGCGTCTTGTCTGTCAATGTAAGGATGTGTTGTGGAATATTTGTTTGTTTAATTGCTTGTTTGGATATGTTGAGACATGTTTGGTTGGTTTTGTGTTCGATAGTTTCTTGTTGTTTGTTTTGTAATTTTTACTTGAGGTACGGACAGTTGGCGGCTAATGTGCAGTGGTCGTTGTGGCAGTTGTGACATTTTTCGTAGGTGTTTGTGCATTGAGTGCAGGTCCACGTGGCGGGAGCTAAATTGCCTTGTGTTTGTGAGGTGTAATCACACTAATGGTGTGATTACACCACGTTCACGTGGCGGGAGTTAGACATTTCATCAGTCTCATTTCATCAATAATCTTCACTCAATTGCAGTTACAAATTTCGTTTTTCATTGATGTAAATAAGCCATCATGCGAGCGCTTTGAGTCCTCCTGCTCCAGCAGGGGTTAGTCACATCGAGTAATGGTTATCAAAAACTTAAGAGCTTTTATTAATGATCTTGAAAATATAATTACTGTCCTCAAAATGGCGTTTTTAATTAGGGCTGATTGTTGATTATGGATTTGATTCGGTTGAGATGATTTGATAACGAGATTCTCAAAGCACAATGATAATTATCTACCTCGAGCAGCGCCAGGATCATCTGCTAGTGTTTATGAAAGGCAATGGGCATGAGAGGCCACAATTATGAATGCGAAACAAGATCAATCAGTTATTTATATTTAATTTGTAATTATGCAATATCTGTGTTTTCTTTTCGCTAGCAATGCACCAGCTGGGTTGATTTTTTTCATCGTAGTTGTAAGCAAATAAACCTGCCTCTTTGATGCCTGTCTTGCCAGCTTCTAACCAATATACAGTACGGCTTCTCAAGAAGAGATTGAGGGACCTTGGAGACATTTGCATGAGCTTTACAAGAATTTTTACCTTATATATGTTATTTATTTCCATGATGATTGATGATCTGTAGATAATCACTAATTAGCAGCTTTACAATAACCACAAAATGTACCCACGCCGAACATAATCTGTACACCAAAGCTTCACGAATCTTCCTCTTCATGCTGGTTTATCTTGAGCAGTTTCGTACGGGCATTTGTCTCTATTTGACATCATAGCGCTCTTTGTGTTGCAGGTGTTGGGTCTTGGACTCGCCACGGCTTCGTATCCTGACAGCGTGAGTACAATAGCCGTAGCCATGTTTCCAGTTGCATCGCCTTGATTATTATTTTGTGTCAGAATTCTTCATGAACAGCTAATAAATCATTCGCTGTGTGCATATGCATAAATGCTATTGATTTTAATCAACGTAATTTTAGGGTAAGGGTGACGACACACTTCAAGGCTCAGACTACCAATGAGGAGCAAATAGATTGAAGTTTCTTATGAAACACAATTTTTTCTGCAGATTCTAGATGAAGGTAAACTATTGATTTGATGGAAGGCTGATATTAACTACTTCCAAAATTATTCATACTCATTGTACTAGTGATGTATGATTCTGCTCGGTAATTATTAGCAAAGTTTGATAAATAATTAAAATCCATAATTTTTCGTGCCAATTCACAACTATTAACGTTGATAATAAATTTAAGCTTTTGGGTACCTTGGAATGAAGCAAAAACGCTGTCTTCGAATGAAAGAAGCAAAAACGCTCATTCTTTGTTAAATCGAACTACGAACATGGTACTGAGTATTGATCCTTCTGAAATGTATAATTTGAACAAAACTGATATATTTATTAGGAAATACGTGAGTAACTTGCGACATCGAATTGGGTAATGAGCAATTCTTCAATTAGACCAAAGCCCAGTCTTACAGCTCCTGGGTCACCTCGGCTACTCAAAACTAGAACTGCATGAACTTTTCCGCCCAGCTGCTTGCAGGGAGGAACTCAATTAGCAATAAAACCCACCCACAGCGGAGGAGTAACTCACACACGTTCATCCGCAGGTCAACGTGGTTACAGGCCGCCCTGGCCCGCTGAGTTGTGGAGCAGTGACTTCCACTTCTGTCCGCTTCCGGTCCCTGACGATGCCGGGCAGCAAATCGCTGGTGGTGAGCCGTGTACCTGTTTACACATGCAGCATTAGAAGCAAGTATAAACGAGCTCGGTGGTGGTGAGCCGTGTACCTGTTTACACATGCAGCACTAGGAGCAAGTGTAAACGAGCTCGGTGGTGGTGAGCCGTGTACCTATGGTGGTGAGCCGTCTACCTGTTTACACATGCAGCCCTAGCCGGCCCTCTGACGTCATTTTTTTCGAAAAACTTTGAACGAAGGAATGTTGCCGGCTGACTGAAAAGAAGCTCAAGTGACACCATTGTTCAAAAAAGGTGATAAAAGCTGCATGGGCAACTATCGCTCTGTCAGTTTGACAAGCGTCGTTTGCAAGGTAATGGAATCTGTTGTGAGGGATCGATTGATAGATCATTTGACTGCTAATAATCTGCTATCAGACTGTCAACATGGCTTTATTGCCGGGAGATCCTGCACCTCTAACCTCTTGTCTACTCTAAATGAATGGACCCGCCTGCTGGACGAAAGGGAGCCAGTAGATGCAGTGTACCTCGATTTTGCCAAGGCCTAACCTAACACAGTGTCCAACATGAGCGGCTGTTGCGTAGATTGAAATCTTTGGGAATTGAGAGTAAAGTATTCAAATGGATCAAAGATTTTCTAGTAGGGAGGCGACAACGTGTCAGTATTAATGGGTCCGTATCAGACTGGGCTTCAGTGCGCAGCGGCGTGTCACAAGGAAGCGTTCTTGGGCCTATTCTATTCGTTGCGTTTATAAACGATCTGCCAGAAGCTGTGTCTAGCGTTTGCTCGATGTATACTGACGACAAAAAAATGTATAATACAGTGAAGAATATGTCGCAAAAAGTACAGTTGCAATGTGATCTTGACAGGCTGGTTGACGGGGCTGATAAGTGACAGTTCTGTTTTAACGCTGACAAATGTAAAGTTAATCCACCTTGGCAAGAATAATGAACAGCAAGATTACAGTATGAGAAGACACGGTTGCAACGACAGAGTGATGATGTCGAAGTCGACAATGGAAAAAGATTTAGGAGTTAATATCGACAATGAGTAGAAATTTTCTAACCATATTGAAGGGCAAGTTAATAAAGCCAATAAACGACTTGACTGATCAGACTCTCTTTCGAGTTCCTAGATGCGGAAGCGATGAAGCAGTTGTTTGTTGGTGTCGTATGCCCGAACCTAGTGTTTGGAAACGCCGTGTGGTCACCGAAATTTGAAAAGGACAAAAATTTAGTAGAGAGCGTTCAAAGACGCGCAACAAGGATTGTTCCGGGCTTGAAAGGCAAGTCCTATGAGGAAAGATTAAAGATTATGAAGCTTCCAAGACTCAGTTATCGACGTCTGCGCGGGCACCTCATTGAAACATTCAAGTATACTCATGGCTTATACAAGGTCCCAGAAGGATTACTAGAATTTGAAACAAGAACCAACACCGGGGGCCACGGCTATAAACTAAAAAACAGCGTTGGAACACATCCATGCGACAACATTTCTTCTCGCTTCGAGTCACCGAGATGTGGAACAGCCTCCCTGACAGCATCGTTGACGCTCCGAGAATGAAAATCTTCAAAAACAGATTAGACGAAGCTATGCAGGAGCATATGTTGTCTTAAAATGCCTAGCAAATTACGGACCAGGCAATAAGTCCAGCAGCTTTCTCAATCAATCGTCAATTATGGAAAGATCGGGTTCCAAAGGCCGGATCCCTTGTGAATCAAGTCACAAAAAGTTCAAGAATCGGCAACAGGCCATGGGCCTATTTCTCCCGTGTACCTGTTTACACATGCAACGTTAGGAGCAAGTGTAAACGAGCTCGGTGGTGGTGAGCCGTGTACCTGTTTACACACGCAGCATTAGGAGCAAGTGTAAACGAGCTCGGTGGTGGTGAGCCTTCTACATGTTTCCATGCACATGCAGCATTAGGAGCAAGTGTAAACGAGCTCGGTGGTAGTGAGCCGTGTACCTGTTAACACATGCAGCATTAGGAGCAAGTGTAAAAGAGCTCGGTGGTGGTGAGCCGTGTAGCTGTATAGTGTTCACACATGCAGCATTGGGAGCACTTGGAAACGAACACGACAGCATGCCACCATAATAGTTTCAGTATGTCCGAATACTTTTACATATTTAATTTAAAAGAAGGTATCGCAATGTCGAGCACAGTAGATAAAGGTGTTTTTAATAGTTTGATGCTTTCTTGGCTGGAGGGATGGAGGGATGTGGTGGAGGGATGCGGGATTCTGCTAGGGCCCCATCCAGTACATATACGTCTACTTTTTTTTTGTATACGTCTACTCATTAAAAGACAAGATTACGTCTCCAATTTTGCTGGGGACTTTAGCTCAGGATGTTCGTGGATAGATAATATATGAAGCGATGATGTTCATTTGCTTTCTTCTTGCAGACTTACCGACGCTTCTCGATCTCGACACTCAAGTTGACCGCTGCCGTAAATGCGACTAAAAGGATGTCAGCAACGGATGTGGTGCAGTGCGCGAGGCAGGCTGCCTTGGAAGGTGAATATTCTGCTTCCATTGTGGTCTTGAAGAATTGTTTGAAATTAGTCTTTTTGCAACTTCGGCACTTCCGCAGAGGCCACATCGGTCAGAAGCAATAGAGTGGCAACAATTCATTCTTTGTTGATTGGTGAACAAATGTACAATATGTTATAATGAACATTTGATAAATGATTTTAAGCTTCAAATTTGTGCCCATGCTTATAGGACCTTCGAAAGACGCGGCTGGACCTGATTCTTTGAACTGTAAAGAGTTCCGTCTGCTAAGGTGCTTTTCAATGACCGCGGTCACTCACCATGCAGGAACAGCTTACACTCGAGCATAAATTTCAAAATTCTAGTAGCTTACCACTTTCTCGAAAATTGATAGCCGTGAATATATGTTTGTGAGAAATTAAATGTTTTTTTCAGACATGGCTGGATTTTCTTTCAATGGAACCTGCACAGCCTACAAATTTGGCGAGAAACTTTGCTCCTGTTCGACGGCAGAACCAGTCATTTACGTGACCGACTCCAGCGTTACCTACGAAACTCCCTCAAGTGTTCCTTTCAGTGAGATTCCATACATTAATATTGGCCTGTGATATCACTGTGAGATAAACAAATGAGTCCGAAAACCTAAATTGAATATTATTGCGTAATGAATAAGTGTGTTCCTAGACGTTAATTGATTGACCTGGGATATTGCTGTCCGATAAATATGTGGGTCCCGATATGTATATTGACTGACCTATGATAGTACTGCGTGATGAAAGTTATACATTTCTAACCAAATGCTATACATCTCTAAGCCTCCCTATACATCTCTAACCAAGCCCTCACACGAAACCCAACCCTCACATAAAGATCTTAAGGCCTCAAAGTATATAAGACATTCAAGAAGCAAGAGTTTATTTAGGGAAATAAACACTAGGCATTCTTCAAACAAAACCTTTGACGGTTACCAAGCAATTCTCGCCAGCGATACGGAGAAATGAACTGATCTTTCCAATGCTCGGACTTACGGCAAGCTCCACTCTTTTCGATGCTGCTACCACCGCGCAAACAGTTGTGCTAATCACTGCGCTATATAGTGGCACTTAACCCTAGGACCCATCCTCGAGTGCAACCTTCCCGCAATGCTCAATCCTCATACGTAGCCTACCTTTCCAGTCAGACCCTCGCATAAAGCCCAACTCCCGCACAAAGCCCAACTCCCGCATACAGTCCAACTCTCTTACAAAGTCCAACCTTCGCATAAAGCCCAACTCTCGTGCAAAGCCCAACTCCCGCACAAAGCCCAACTGCCGCACAAAGCCAAACTCTCGCACAAAGTCCGACCCTCGCCTGTACCAGCAGACAGAAGCTGTCAGATGGCATGATTTGATTTGTTTGTCAGCGTTGTGCACTGTGTTTTGCGCAAAGTGTATTGTGTGTGAGCGCAGTTACTTCTGTGTGCTTCCTTTAATATGTCTAAAGAAATTATCTATATGCGTGTGGGAGGTTTGTTAATGTAAGCGAGCGTGTGGGGGCGCTTGGGTCAGGACGTATCTTCGTTTAATGCTCAAGTGCTTATTTAAACGAGCGTGTGGGGGCGCTTGAGTCAGGACGTTTCTTCGTTTAATGCTCAAGTGTTTATTTAAACAAGCGTGTGGGGGCGCTTGGGTCAGGACGTTTCTTCGTTTAATGCTCAAGTGTTTATTTAAACAAGCGTGTGGGGGCGCTTGGGTTAGAACGTATCTTCGTTTAATGCTCAAGTGTTTATTTAAACAAGCGTGTGGGAGCGCTTGGGTCAGGACGTATCTTCGTTTAATGCTCAAGTGTTTATTTAAACAAGCGTGTGGGGGCGCTTGATTCAGGACGTATCTTCGTTTAATGCTCAAGTGTTTATTTAAACGAGCGTGTGGGGGCGCGTGGGTCAGGACTATCTTCGTTTAATGCTCAAGTGTTTATTTAAACGAGCGTGTGGGGGCGCTTGGGCCAGGACCATCTCCGTTTAATGCGCAGGTGTTCATTTAAACGAGCGTTTGGGGGCGCTTGGGTCAGGACGTATCTCTGTTTAATAGGGGAGCATGTAGGTCAAAATCAATTTTCTATATTTAGGGAAGGATCATCTCCAAACTTGGTACACATATGTAGAATGGAAAATGACGACTATTTTGTTCGTGTGAATTTAAAAAAAAAAAATTAAAGAAAACGTGAAATTCATAGAAAACGGCCAAAAAGGGGGTACTCTAAAAAAGTTAATAACTGTTGCAAATCACATGCTACAATATTGAGACCCGTATCATTCGATGCGTAAATACCATATCTAGCGATTGTCGGGCCACTTTTTAAATTTTTTCTTGGTTCTCTTTTTATGATGATTTTTCTGAAAAATTCCGATTTTTCACGCACTTTTTGAATTTTTCCTCTTTTTTTTCAAAATATTTTCAAAACTAAAACGCAAATAAAGAAAATGGCTCGTGAATCGCTAGATATTTTAATTGCGAATCGAATGGTATAAGTCTCATTGCTGTAGCTCCAAAACTCTAGGAGTTATTAGGTTTGCCGTGACAATAAGTTAACTTTTCAGGACAGCCCGACAAATTCCCGCGCGCCTCGAAATAGGCACTCAATGTATCAAGGATACGAAACTAAACGTTACGGGAGCTTGTACCAGTCAAGGATGGTGGGAGCGACTGCTAGCAGACATCCTCGTGCGACGACAGGAGGGTACATATAAGCTCTATTTCTACCAGCCACTCTATTTATGTGCGACGCAGCTAATTTTCCTCCATCTAATTTCTTAAAGAACTCCCCTACCCCCTACCTTGCGGAACCTCTAGTGAACGCATAAATTAACGTACAGAGTTGGTAATGGTACCGTTGGAAGACGGAGGGGCAAGGGTGAAGTTGACGGAGCTCGGTTCGAGAGAGTAGGCTTAACAGAGGGCACTTCGCATATCTTCGACACAAGGTGCCATCACTCACTAGATTTACCCTCGTTTTTTAGCATGAAAAAACAGGGAACCGCTATTTACTTCCACTCTCTGTTTGCATTCTCTTTCACTGACTTCACTTCAAGTCTTTTTAGTGAGACGTTTCAATACAAAATGCGTTAATACAGTCCAACCGCATTGTGAAAAAACAAGCTGTGAGCCCGCGCAGCACGCACGTCTGTCTTGTGACACGGCTCAACCGCGACTCCCAAACATTTCTAACCAAATGCTATACATCTCTAAGCCTCCCTATACATCTCTAACCAAGTCCTCACACGAAACCCAACCCTCACATAAAGATCTTAAGGCCTCAAAGTAAATAAGACATTCAAGAAGCAAGAGTTCATTTAGGGAAATCAACACTAGGCATTCTTCAAACAAAACCTTTGACGGTTACCAAGCTCCTCTCGCCAGCGATAACAAGAAATGAGTTGATCTTTCCAATGCTCGGACTTACGGCAAGCTCCACTCTTTTCGATGCCGCTACCACCGCGCAAACAGTTGTGCTAATCACTGCGCTATATAGTGGCACTTAACCCTAGGACCCATCCTCGAGTACAACCTTCCCGCAATGCTCAATCCTCGTACGTAGCCTACCTTTCCAGTCAGACCCTCGCATAAAGCCCAACTTCCGCACAAAGCCCAACTCCCGCATAAAGCCCAACTCTCTTACAAAGTCCAACCTTCGCACAAAGCCCAACTCTCGCACAAAGCCCAACTCCCGCACAAAGCCCAACTGCCACACAAAGCCTAAAGGTGCCTGTACACAGGGATAGTACTAGCCGCTAGTTCATCCGGCGCTTGAACTGTCCACGCTACTAGCCTCGTGTATAGGGGTTCAGCCGCTTCAGAGGCATGCGCCGGCAAGTGCCCGAGGCACGGCCGAGAGAGACAACGATGTGTTGATATCTTGGCTGGAGAAGTGGCTAGTAGCGCTGATGCAGCCATGGTGAGAGCATCTGTGCCGCTCCTGTGAAGTATCTTGGGTCACGTAAATCATGGCTTGTTTGAACGATAATGTTTCTAAGAGGAATCTAACAAAGTGGATTCCAGATGATATTCAATTATTCTTTGAAATATTCCAAAAATATGAATTAAAGTATAATGTTTTCCATGATGGTTACACCAACAAAATGAAGAGAGAAACGAGTATTTTGAAACGGAAAGAAGACCTTATTAGTCAGGGTTTAGTTGTTCCCGACGCTGTATTTTTAAGGGCTAGATTATGGAGACTTGGGTCAGGGCGTATCTTCGTTTAATGCTCAAGTGTTTATTTAAACGAGCGTGTGGGGGCGCGTGGGTCAGGACTATCTTCGTTTAATGCTCAGGTGTTTATTTAAACGAGCGTTTGGGGGCGCTTGGGTCGGGACGTATCTCTGTTTAATAGGGGAGCATGTAGGTCAAAATCAATTTTCTATATTTAGGAAAGGATCTCTCCAAACTTGGTACACATATGTAGAATGGAAAATGATGACTATTTTGTTCGTGTGAATTTTTCCAAAGAAATAAAGAAAACGTGAAATTCATAGAAAACGGCCAAAAAGGGGGTACTCTAAAAAAGGTTATAACTGTTGCAAATCACATGCTATAATATTGAGACACGTATCATTCAATGCGTAAAGACCATATCTAGCGATAGTCGGGCCACTTTTTTAACTTTTTCTTGGTTCTCTTTTTATGATGATTTTTCTGAAAAATTCCGATTTTTCACCCACTTTTTGAATTTTTCCTCTTCTTTCAAAATATTTTCAAAACTAAAACGCAATTGAAGAAAATGGCTCGTGAATCGCTAGATATTTTAATTGCGAATCGAATGGTATATGTCTCATCGCTGTAGCTTCAAAACTCTAGGAGTTATTAGGTTTGCCGTGACAATAAGTTAACTTTTCAGGACAGCCCGACAAATTCCCGCGTGCCTCGAAATAGGCACTCAATGTATTAAGGATGAGCAACTAAACGTTACTGGAGCTTGTACCAGTCAAGGATGGTGGGAGCGACTGCTAGCAACCATCCTCGTGCGACGACAGGAGGGTAACTAAGCTCTATTTCCACCAGCCACTCTATTTATGTGCGACGCAGCTAATTTTCCTCAATCTAATTTCTTAAAGAAATCCCCCACCCCCTACCTTGCGGAACCTCTAGTGAACGCATAAATTAACGTACAGAGTTGGTAATGGTACCGTTGGATAGCTCAGAATGTCAGCTTTAAGATGAGACTAAAAACCGGAAAAGCCGAAATCCAAAATTTTCACCTACATGCTCCCCTATTAATTTAATTTTCATTAATTAATTAATAATCAAGAGTTTATATAAACGAGCGCTTGGGTCAAGTGGGTGGGGGCGCTTGGGTCAAGATGTATCTACGTTTAATTCTCAAGTGAATGTAAGTGAGCGCGCCTCTGCAGGAATGCACCTGACTGCGTAAACGTTCACGCGTGTTCCTGCAAATCTGTCTATGTTGATAATTTTTACAAATGTCTTGACAGTTGGTGAATTCGAGCATATGAGTCCTTATATTGTGCATCAGTCGCGCATCTTATGGACGTGCATCTTGTATACAGTCAATCATCTTGCTGACGCGCATCTTGTATAAAGTCGCGCATCTTGTATACAGTCGAGCATCTTGTGGACGCGCATCGTGCATACAGTCGAGCATCTTGTGGACGCGCATCTTGTATACAGTCGAGCATCTGGTGGACGCTCATCTTGTATGCAGTCATGCATCTTGTGGACGCGCATCTTGTATACAGTCAATCATCTTGTGGACGCGCATCTTGTCGTCGAGTATCTTATGGACGCGCATCAACACGGTCGCGCATGGACCAGTGTCGCGTGAACGTCTGCTGTTTAAAGGTGCCTTAAGGCTGGTAGTCAGAACGCAGCAAAGTCTGAGAGTGATTTTTTCGTGACCATCGTGTGAAATCCTTGATCTTCCCGAAGCTCGGCCAGTCGCTACCCTCGAGCTTGTACACTTTGTAATATGATATCCTAGCCAGACCCTTTTTCGCGGCAACTGGTCGCTTTCAGGTAGCCGAGGCATGGCCAACGGTCGGCTACTTGGACTATGCCGGCCAATGGCCACGTATAATTCCTCGCCCTCATAGAGTTCGCCTTTACCATGCCGCCCGTCGTGAACTGACAGTTCAGTAATTTTCGACGCCCCTATCCCCTCATACCTTTCACAAAGCCTGCTTTTGAGCAGTTAGTATGCGGGATTTTCCCTCCGCGTATCAGCAGGCTCGATCATAACTATTTTTTGGTAGATTATATCTACAACAAGGAGACTGATCAAGAAATGCCGAGTATATCATTCAATGGAGAATAAAAATTACAATCCGTTTACATATTGACAAAAGTGTAAAAGTCGCAGACTTGATGAACAATAATATTCAAAGTTTATTGAAATTTCTTTTCATTATAACTCTTCTAAAACAAAGTTTACATATTTTTTGTTCCTGGTCACCGTTTATAAATAAATAGCTGGGTAATCATGGAAAAATCCATATCGCCATCTCATTTAAAAGGGGAGAAAAATCCAGCCTAATTTGTGAAGAAACTCATAGGGACGAACCGATCGAGGCTGTTCGTAGCCTCGCTCTCAATCAGAGCCTTAAGCTGCCGTTTAATGCACCAACACTGTTGACGTTTGCTTCAGGAGTAAAGTAACATTCTTAGAGACATTTTTGTGTCAGGTTGAGAGCTGCTTGATGTTGGTTAAGAGAGGCTGGACTTTGATCAAGATACGTTTTCTGTTGGTACAGAGCGATTATGTGTTGCTCATGATTATGTTGGTCTCGAGCGCCTTACTGTTGGTCAAGCGCGGCTTGTTGACGATCGCGAGCGGCTTGATGTTGTTCTCGAATGGCTTTATGGAGAAGGTATTATAATGGCAATATTAAGGAATGACATGAAGAGAACAGTGACATTGAATTATTAGAAAGTTTTGGTAAGTACAGGACTAATTACGATATTTTCGTGCACGTTCAGTACTGACGTGAAAAATTATTGACAAAAGACGGGTGGAGGCTTCCACTTTCTGTACTTTCTTTAATGACGCGAGTCATGATTCATACACGAATCTATAGAAATCTTACAACAACGAATGGTTTTAGACATGATACTCAAACCGGAAAGTGATACAGTCATGACGCGCTTCATTAGACTGGAAATGTGATTGATTGCTCAAAACAGGTTTGACAGACCTCATATGTCCAAGCCCTCAGCTCTTGCGACTGTATATACGATCAAAAAATTGGCCAATTCTGAGGCGATTATCTAGTGCGGCTTATTTGGTGACGCGACAACTTGTGCGGCTAGAAGGCAAGCAGGACATTCGCGGATATGTAGGAGGTTTTGTATTGTCGTGTACTGGCCATGCTAACCGCATTTCTAGCTAGTAGCTTACCATTATTTATGTTATATTTAAAAAAATAAAAATTCAACAGGCGCTGCTTCCTACGTGAACGTCACGGTTGAGAACACAGGATTTAAGCAGTACAAGCTCGTGAATTTCTTCCTGGATGTCATTGAGAACAATATTGCACAGCCACCTGACAGTAAGTTGTCAATAATTAATGATGCAATTACCGTTTGCCGGATAGGACAAAATCCATCTAGCCTCTCCCTCACGACTCCAGTTAACCTTCTCTTTCGGCATTCTAGTCACTGTTAAGAAACCTTATTTTTTCTCATATTTGTCAACATGATTCGTTACTCCACACTCGACACTCCTGTGACCACACTGGCAAGGAACTAAATCACACACTGGCCAAGGTTAAATTATTAAATGAATATTTTTTTTTCAAACGAATCTCAAGTTAAGCCACAAGTCCGCGTATAATGGTGATGTCACGCCTATAGGGTGCAGTGTCGACATAACAGAATTTTCTTCATTCTTTACATCTTCGTGTGAGACACCAGTTTTTTAATTAAGTCGTCTTGCTTCTATTGAAAAATTTAATCATAATTTCATAAATAATCTTTCTATTTAACGCTTCAACTAACCATAATAAAATCATTATAGAAAACAACGTTCTCGACACTAATAATTAAGCTGTGATCGAACTTGATTTTCCCGTATTGTCATTTGATTACATAAATACATATCTAACACGTTGAGTCCGATTGCTTCATCTTGTACCATTATTTCATTATATATAATATTTTGAAACAGGGTTGCCAGACAGCCTTTTTGCTGACAAATTCTGCAATCTATTTTTTTCAATTGCGTTGGCCGGCTAAAATTAATGATAGGGGTACTTCCTAATTAAACTTTAAAATCTGCAAAAAAGAAATGGAAATTTTACACCGGAACCTACATACTAGTGTATATTGAGTAATATGATTTTTAGGCCTTTTTTGTTCACGGACACTGTCGTTTTTTAGGCCATCGGAAAACACAGAATTAGTTACCACTACTTCCTGGAGAAATACAATTAATGGTACGTATATATGTACAACTTCAGAGTTAACGTGTTAGAAACGACACTCTGAGCTTAATTGAAATAAAAAATATTAGTACACAAAACTATTTTCATCATCAGTTAAATCCTCGATCCCTATTATGATGAGTCCTGTACCTCTATTATGATGAGCCCTCGATCTCTATTATGATGCGCCATCGATCTCTAGTATGATGAGCTATCGATTTCTATTATGATGAGCCCTCGATCTCTATTATGATGAGCACTTGATCTCCATTATCATGCGCCCTCTCTCTTATGATGCGCCCTTTATCTCTGCTATGATGAACCCTTGATCTCTATTATGATGAGCTCTAGTATGTGATATCTATTCTCGCTTGCCGAAGATGCGCGCCGTTTTGTTGTTCCTACTATTTGGTGTCGAGGTAAGGCAGTTCAATCTGCAGTGTCATGCCTTTTTTTTCTAATTGAAATAGAAAACATATTGCTCAAAGTACTTATTGAGGACATTTTTAAGATCATTCTTCATTTCTAAGGTAATTTCTTTGGCATTTGTCGATGCAAAGTTCTGGTCACAGCTTTCTCCAAACCACGAAGTTTCCTAGAGACCTTGACCTATCACCTCGAAACTGCCGACCACACCTCGTCCCTCCCAGGATCTTAGCACCGAAATGCACCAATTCATGAGTCATCAAATCCACTAATTCCTTTGTTCCTGCCAGTCTCAAGGGGAGCTGCGACTCTCTACTTCTTTCCTCAAGACGATGGCATCTACAAAGCTATTAGAAGACCCTATCTGGACCTGGCTTCTTGCGTCACCGACTCTCCATGCGGAATACCTGTCCTCGTCAACAATACGCTCCCAGCTTACTACCTGCGTGAGTATCAGTTACGCAGAGTGTTCGGTATTCTAACTAAAGTATAATGTACGTCAGGTTCCCTTGATTTCTTCACACTTTAGGCATTGTGGATAAGTGCTCCGATATAGCACCTGCACATTTGGGACCAAAAGCACATTTGGGCCTAAATAATTTCCAATTGATCAAATATATAATTGATAACTAGTATTTAATTTACAATCGATCTCATATGTAATTGATATTCGTTGTTGTTTTATTTTAGCACAGCAGAACAAGGTCAGTTTTTTCAGTAATAAATACTTAGAGCTCTTACAACCACCATGCTATCAGTTCTGGAATGTGCTGAGTTGTGCTGCCCTAGCCGATGGTAATAAACTTGCTAGTCTACCTCATCCTATGGGATTGCATTAAGTTAAGTTTTCTGTATATATGCCGATATTATTATCATTTTCTACTGCACCGTGCACTAGAAAATATTTCTGGGAAGTTTTTTCAGTATCAAATTTTATACCGTGTCGAATAATGCGTACCGTAGTGGCAAATATTGTCCCTTTGATTGAGATAAAACGAATAATGATTTCCCTGTTGATTTTTTCATATTGTACAACTGCCATAGTTTGTATTTTTTATGATAGGTGTATCTCATTGGGGATCTGGAGACTTTATAGCAGCTCCTACACTGAAACAAATCGGTGCGTAGAAACTACGCACCAAAATGACTATCCCGGCTTGTCCCAAATGAATTGCCAAAAGCGTCTCAAACGCCCCTCAGCCAGCCGATAAGCTACTTTTAGCGCGTAAACAGAGAAAGCCTCATTGAACTACAGCCGACGCTTCTATGCAGTGTGGTGAAGGAAAACATTAAATATAATATAGCGCATAGGATGAGAGAAAGACTGCCGGAAGTACATCATTTTATTAGAATAACACATTATGAGTATCTCGTCCACTATTGCTATGTCTCAATACTAAAATTGCAAGCATTTGTGAATGATTTAAATTCAAATTAATTACTCAACAATACAAATGTAAAAATTCGTATGCAATATATAGCCAAGGATTTTAACGCACCCTTAGTGATATTACGAGGTAACAACTCCGAAGAAAACACGTGGCATCGATTGGTGTATATAATAAAACATTTCTTGAAATTCCTACATGGCTCTTCACAACGTAGCTCTCTGAAAATGTCCCTTCATGTTGAATCGCCGGATTTAGTTATTCATGTTTTATCGTGATAGTTACATAAAATGAGCATATCATTCCAATTAGCTGCATTATTAGATATAGAGATACTATTTGCAACCATATAAATTCACTTACCTCCGACCCTACGTTGGAAGAACCATCCGACCGTAGCAGGATTCCAACCCGGGCTCGATGCAGACCGCGCGACGCCTCAGTCCACTCGACTACGGTAGAACGCATGCATTGCAAATTAAAATAAGCTATTCAACCTAACTTTCTACATCATGACTGAAAAGGCACTCGTGTGCCTACATTTTCTAGATATAATTTATTTCTGTTAATCTGCAGAAAAGGAACAATTAAACTTGTGGAAAGTTCAAAGACACCATCATCCACCACCACAATTTGCAAGTCGCGTGTTATCGCAGGCTTGCATTACTGGTAGCATGAAAACTGATCGACGTTCGAGGTGTTGGTGTTTAAGCATTCCTCGCAACGTCAATTAATACTCGACTTTATTTGGTATACGTAGAATTGTTATGTAACTTATTTTGCTAAAATCAAGCCTATGATATAATAAGCTCCAGGTTTATCTTTTGGCATACTTTTTACATACATTATTAGAAATAATGAATAAGTTTGAATTTGCTGTCGATGATCTTTTTCACCTGGCTCACCGGTAACAAAGACTGTAATCGAACTGCGATATGTTTCATAACCAATATGACTTCAAAACCGCCTCTGTATTCGAGGCAATAAAACATCAAAGATGAAAACTACATAAAGCATGCGAATGTCGTACGTGTGTTTAATCACTATTGCATATCTTCAACTAGTTATCTTATCACTATTATAAAGTTGATTTAAAGCTACTATCATTTTGTGTTAACTATTAAATTCAAACTCGCATGTAAATTTGCCGTTTTTTCGTTGGTCCTGACGTCATACGCCTAGCAGAAGTGGCTGCCACTGGCTGAGCGAAAATTAGAGATAACTGTTGATAAAACGGTGAACGAACGTTTCGGAATGATTCGTTTAGCTACATTGAGCGTTTTAGCCAGTTGAGATGTCTTAAACTAACGCACCGATTTGTTTCAGTGTAATCATGAAATTGTGCTTAAAACAGCTCTAATTACTAAATACAGCAGCTTGAGTGTACGAAATATGCCACAGAATTAGACCAGTGCTATGAAGAAAATTTTTCCAGGCTGCATTTCATGTGCAAAGTGAGAAAATTCTGGATTTTACTCGGTATGCTCTGATTATTAATTACAATGATTATTCATTTAAATAATTTAATTTCTTGTTATTCGCATCACTATTTTTTACGGTCGTGTCACCACTTCAGTGATGTATATACGTATAATATTATTCTAAACTAAACTATAATGTAATAATAATCAGTTCTGTGCCATTATATACATATACGTCACATCTACATCATTTAGCGTCATGCGCACTACACTACGAGACATTGAGAGCATTCGGTGAGGTTGGTATGCCAGATAATTACTTTGATGTGTCCTTGCTTGACCTCAGCCGATACCTGACGATGTGAGTCAATACGAGGCGATGCAATCATTATACCAAACCCGTTTCATTAGAGCAAATTTACTCGGGTGTCGAGTGATCAACGACACTTTAATTTGTGCTCAGTGCCCAGGCTTAACTACAGTCGTGTGCAGTGAACTTAGCCTAATTTTCCTTTCCATGTCATATGAAAGGATCAATGCATTGTACTCTGTCACATCAAGATCATTCCACTAATTTGTATCCGCAGTGAACGAATGCGGCAGGACCATTGAACTTACGGCTGACCTCTCCAAGTCAGACTTCGTTATTGTGTACTCACACCCCGGATTCGGGTGCAAGGCATTCCCGGACGGTCCGGCCTACAACTGCACCGTTACTTTCACATCAACTACTACTCTTGTCTTTAAATTTGTGGGATTTTATTTCGATGCCGCTGCCGCTACCTGCGACGGCTACACACTGCGCGCTTCTTACGATACCACGCCCGACGCCGATTTCTGCACTGTTGTTAAGGTCGGTGAAAGGGAGGGTTTTGGTATCCTTGTCAATCTTGGTTTTCTTCGATTGGGTTCTCTTGTATCTCTTTCCAGAAGAAATATGACATAATAATACACGATATATCGCGCCGATGTCTTGAATTAAACTAATTTATCACAAATACCAGAGGGTCCTTCTGCACTTCAGTCCTATAGTGTCGGTTCAACTTATTAATTTACCTCCACTAAATCTGCACGAGGAAGTCCATTTCCTCAGACTCCATGCAATCAAACTCAATTGAACTGGATTGATTAATGTTTCACAAGTATCGTCAGTTTATACAAAGATTATAAAAATATTTTCTTTTCTAAATCCTCTATGATCAATAATTTTACCGCATACTAATAATATCAAAATAATGCAATAATGCACGTAAAGTGGGTGTAAACTATATACCTAATGATCCTAGGCCAGCGTTGACCTTTTATTGAGGACAAGAAAACAGTGTCGCACTGAACACAAATTATTGCGACTGTTCTCCTCAGGACGGACGTGGCAATACAACATTCACTCTGCTAGGCCAGGCGCTGGCCAAAACCTTCAAGGCGGGGTTCCTCTTCACATTCTCGTAGTTGCTTGACACGTAATTTTGCCCCGCTTGCCCCATCGTCACCCCACGCGTCCCCATCTAAGAAACATCACATACATGATCACCGCAGCATTCACCTCGAGCGGGGATTACAATTCCCCACAAACTAAATTTTATATTCTTCTGAAGTCATATTTTTGAAGTTAGTTGTTGTGACTGCGCCTCAGAGAGGGATGTGACTGCACCTCAGAGAGGGATGGAGAACGAGGGGTGAACTGCGATAAAAAATAAATGCAGAAATAATCAGAAATACCTCATAGAAAAGGATGGGGGCTTGCGGGGTGTGGGCAACGCTGGACTTTTGGCAACCTTGAACGTGATGTGATGCCACCCATTGTATCTCGCTAACTGTGTGATGCCATGCACAAGTGCTGTTACTTTAGCTGTGTGAAGTGGTGATGCCACGCACAAGTGCTGTTACTTTAGCTGTGTGAAGTGGTGATGCCACGCACAAGTGCTGTTACTTTAGCTGTGTGAAGTGGTGATGCCATGCACAAGTGCTGTTACTTTAGCTGTGTGAAGTGATGGTACCACTTACGAAAAGGCAAAAGTTCATGAATTTCTTTCCAGCTCGCTAAAGACAAGGATTCGTAGTTTTTCACATAACATCCGCCGGGTTGAGATCCTGTACAGATCCTATTCGAAGTAACAATATTTTGTAATATGTGTAAATCTCTTCGAAACATGTTGAAAGTAATTGAAAGTTTTGGGATAAATTTTTCATTATTTGTTCTGTGTTTATTTAGGTTTAACTCGTCTAAATTAACAAGCTACCATGTCTGTTGTTCGATCGCTACTTTGATTCTAAAATGTATGCTACATAAGGAATAGCCAGTGCACTGAGTGGGTTTTCTTGAAATTTGGCAGCGGTTCTATGTGTGTTTTATACGAGTATAATGCTGTATTAATTGATTCGACTGAGACAATATTACATTGTGTTTGGTTAAATTTTAGCGTTTACTTTAAATTCCTCCCCTGCAGTCCCCGGCTTTGGGGCTCTATTCCCTAAATTTGATCGTTTACTTGATCATAATGAGAGTGGAGCAATTCCTACCCCTCCATACATAACCGTAGTGGGGCAATTTTGCACTATTTTGCATTATTTTAGGTTATGGGGCAGTTGTTGCTCATGAATGCACTGCCAATTAGAGTTTAATTAACCCCCTCCCTCCGTGCCCTGGTATTCACCAGCACCTTCCTGATGCCCGCTTTTAAACAAATCAGGCGGCGCATTATTCACGTACTCATGTCTTACTCGCCACACGCTTTATGTAACCGAGTCGTACCCGACGGGTATTCTACTCATCTGGCACTTGTCTCATATGTTGCTTTAGGTCTCACATTATATTCGTGACAGCAATAAATGCCTTCAATTAGCACGCCTTATTATCCATTACTCAAACCCGACATGGATTCGTCCTTAACTTCTCGTCTATTCCGTGTAATGTTTGATCGTTGATCAATGGCGAATATTTGAGTTAATACCCTTAACGGCCGTAGTGAACGAATTCGTTCAGTCTATTTCAAAGCTATAATATAGAGAAAATATTAGCGATTGGATTCTGAGTCCGAAGTAAACGCATTGGTACAGTCCAGAACAACATGCCAGATACCGCCACATCGCTCAATTAGGGGAATTGTGCTCAATAGGCAACCTGATGTCACGGAAGTTGTAGCGTGACAAGACGACCTTTCATCTTGTCAACTTTTGTCCATCATGGACTCCAAGGGAGGTTAGTTATCCCAACGAAAAAAATACCAGTGAGATGAGCATGATTCATATGTGTGATATAAGGTATAGCTAAATTATTTGGCGCTTATATTTATATTGTGGACGCCCATTTTTGGTTAGTACAAATTAGTTCAGTTCGGACAGCACCATTCATTACCAGACACAAATTGGCAAAATCGTTCAGTTCGTCGTATCAAGGTAATCGTTTTTTACACATAAATACAGATAAATGCAACTATATTACTGTTTTAGGCATAACATCCATATAGACATAGCATGTCAAACTCTGTTTTGAGGTTGCAGTCCTTCTCATAATTATTTTTTTAGATATTGCTAATTGGTTCTTTTATGGATCGTCTGCCAAGAAAGCATCTATTGCTGAAAGGATGGACATATTAGCAGCTAATACGAGCGATGTTGATGAAAACTACGATAATGTTGACAGTGTTTCAGATCCAACGTTTTGCCCAGGTGCCCATTGGTTCACAGGAGAACAGATGCAGGTGCCCATTGATAATTAGTTTACTTTGGTGCCTTTGCAACAACACTTGGCAGAAAGAAAAATCTTTTGCTGTGGAACAGTTCGGGCAAATCGCGTGCCTGGAATGAAAATTTTCAAAAAAGAAGATAAACAATTGATGAAGAGAGGAAGAGGAGCATTTGAAGAGAAGAGACTGATCAGCGAAACATGCGATATTTCTATGTACGGTGGTGTGACAACCGTGTTGTGAACATGCTGTCATCGTTTGCCAGCTCAAATCCTACTTCTGAAATTGATAGATTTGACCAAAAACAGAAGGTCATCAAAGTCATTATTCCAAACATTGTTCAAATCTACAATCGGTCAATGGGTGGAGTAGACAAGGCAGATCAGCTGATTGCCATCACCAGAACCCCATTGAAGTCAAAGAAATACTACATGAAGATGGTGTTCCACATGTTCGACATAGCTGTTGTCAACAGCTGGCTTTTATATAAGCGAGATACAATCTTGTTAGACATGCCACGTAAAAGTGTCCTTGCACTATCAGACTTCAAGTTTCACGTAGCATTTGCTCTCATGGAAGCAGGCAAATCAATCAATAAAAGAGGAAGGTCTTCAGCTTGTGAAACTCCTGAGAGTAAGAGGCAAGAACTATGCATGTAATAACAGTTGTCCCTCAGAATTATGTTCGATATGATCAAGTTGGCCACTGGCCCTTTGTTGCAGAAGCTCGTCGCATTCGCCGTTTGAAGGTTGTGCAAATCGCACGAATGTTGCATGCACAAAATGCAATGTGCATCTCTGTTTCAATAACAAGACAAATCATTTTGTTGCATCCCACAATCGCTAGAATGTCACATCAGCTGATCTACATTCAGAGGAAGGCAGTAGCGCGCTACATGTAGCGGCCGCTACTAGCGGCTGCTACATTTTCAGTAGCGATAGCGGCGCTACGATCTAGTGGGTGTAGCGGTAGCGGTAGCGCTCCGCTACATTTAGAGCATGTAGCGGTAGCGGCCGCTACATTTAGAAGTATCGCTGCCCAGCTCTGTCTACATCAAATTTGCTCATATTTTTCCTGCAACTTTATGTTATAAGGAGCATATTTATTTGGGAAATTGCCTCAGTGCTGGCTGTGAAATTTGTAACAGGTGCCATTTTATTATTTTTTACTGTGATTTAGTGCGTGAATAACAGAGGATTTACAAGTCGATAAGATGCTACTATGATAAGTAACTTCTAAATAATCATGTATTTTTGCAGTCAAATATGTGCATAAGAAAATGAATTGGTTCTAATTCAACAGCAAAGCTCTTTTTCTGATAACATATGTATTTTCAATGTTTCCTTTGGTGCATGTGTGGTCCTGACTGTACTAATTCGTACACCATTAATATTGTTTTAGTGAAAGTGAATTTTCTAGGTTTGATCATCCATTACTCTTATTATGAGTCAGTAAAGCCCAAAAATCAACTTCAATATTTTTTTTACAAAACAATTCATTGCGCCGGCCGTTAAGGGTTTAAGGTAAGATTTACGGCCGGAATCAGACCTGGCCGTCAACGCCTATGGGACCGACGTAGCAGAAGAAGAGCTGAAATGTCTGCAGTAGAGACGAAATCTGTGCCTGCTTGGTGTCTAATATGTGCCTGCTTTAACAGTTCTGTGACTTTTCTGTGCTTGTTCCGTGCCTGCTCAGCCACTTCTGTTCCTGTTCTGTACCTGCTCTGTATGTTCTGTGCCTGCTCTGTATGTTCTGTGCCTGCTCTGTATGTTCTGTGCCTGCTCAGTCAGTTCTGTGCCTGCTGTGCCTGTTTTGTGCCTGTTGTAATCTGTTTAGTCAGTCAAAAAGGCAAGGCGTTTCGCGGATGTATTAGGGTAGATTAAGTCCGAGATGCGTTGACGAGACACCCGCGTAAGGGTACGCACACAGTGAAAGCAGGTTTCCAGCGTGCTGGTTACCTGCTCAGGCTGGCGCCTGAAACCATAGAATACGGAAGCCTATTCGTACAGGTTTTCACTGTGAACACTTACATTATTATCCTATGTTCATTCTTGTGGCAGGTTGGAGCAGGTTGTCCGCGCGGGCAAACCTGCTTTCACTGTGTGCATACCCTAACATCTCCGCAAAATCAACGATCGAAGTGTCCACTTTTTAAGTTCGCTCTATCGCTACAAGCGGCCTCGGGATGTGTAGAAACCCAAACTGTTGTATCCGTTTATACTTTTACCAGTCGGAGCATCTAACAGAGATGCAAGTATCGTAAAATCTCGTTATCAGATCGAAAGCACAATTCTTTTTTCGCTATCATATCAAGTCTACTTTATTTCACACACACTCGAAACAAAAATATTAGGGATCAGCTACAACACCTCCAACGCAACGCAAACATCAGACTAATAAAACTCACTACGGCCCTGTTGAGTGATCAAGGATCGAGTGAACTTGGGCAATCCAAGCTTTACTGAACAAATGCCCAGTTACCTGGAAACACAACAACTAATGTAAAATACTTATAAACGCAACACGGAACAATATAACATAACAGTAACAGAGGAAATATATAACAGTTAACAAGTAAGATTCGTAAAGGTAAGGAACGTTGCACTTACATCATAGAACAGCAGGAGTCAGGCCCGTTCGTACTGGCTATTGCATAGAGACTGACAACATTAGTCGGAGTCCGACCGCATTACAACTTGCTACACGACGTGTCGTACTAGTTCTTTATTATGGCAGGTCCCTAGGCGGTACCAAATTTGGCAAAGACAAAGAAAGGTGCTAGAAATTTGGCAAAGACAAAGACTAGCACCCACGTACAAACAATTCATCAGAACAGTGATGGCATATGCCAGCCCCACCTGGGCGCCCGCATTATCCAACACAAACATACAGAAACTACAAACACTACAAAACAAAACACTCATTATAGTCACAGGCTGCACACAAAGCACCGCCATCGAACACCTTCATGCCGAAACAAAAATACTTCCCATAAAAGCACACCATGACATGAGAGGAACACAGTTCATAGCTGCGGCCATAAACAACATAGAACACCCATGCCACTACCTGCGCGACCACCCACCTACACACTGACAAATAGTGCAAACCCCACATAGATGCTACACCAACATACTGTACACAGTATCCCCACCTCAAGGCAACACCAGCACAAAAAAAAAACACACACAGTTCCCAGT